CAAAAACAACTGCAAAACGGCAAATTATCGGTAATTATGTTTGTAGTTTTTCAATATTTCCCTTTTAGCTAAAGTCTTGAAATTTCTACACCAAATAGGGTTTTTCAATAGCTTCAATTTGATATATAGCCCAATGTTCAGTGTTGAGTATTTCTGCTCATAACTCAGAAAAACTAAAATACACTGGCTTCAATTCTCCCCCCCCCCCCCCCCCTGAGTTAGCCTTCCAGTTTATTTATAGTTCAATGGTGGCGAGTCCCTCGCAAGTAATGAATATGAGTCTATGCATGGATTATGCATGATGAAAGTTTCGCGAATGACGCATGCAGGATTCGTCCATATTCTAAATAAACTCCATGTAGTAGCACTTATCTAATACCTTGAAATTGCGATTCGCTAGAAAGGAAGTGAACTTACTTTTCAAGCAGTAACGTTTAATGAATTACGTTAGACAATGGCGTTGAGAGCTTCTTTTTATTTCTCAATCACATCCGAAACATTCTCTGCATAAGAAGTGACACTGTTTTTCTCAACCATGTTATGATTTAAGTTACTTAAATATCGGACCAATTTTTGGTCAAGATATATGAATTTAAAATGACACTAACTTTTCTGTGTTGTTTAATTTAGCTGAAGAGAGACTTTAACAAGATAACTGGGTTCAGATGTGCTGATGCACTGTCCAAACTGAAAGCATTAGCCCCCAAAATCGTCGAATATGGCTCACAGTTTCCTACGATGAAGAAGCTAGTATGCAGTTATGATATAAATCAGGAGGATAATCAACCAGAAAGTAGGTCCTAATTATGAAAAGGCGTTTCATTATTTACAGAATAGCAATACGAATTTGAACTACCGTGTAATGTTCTTTATGTTAACATGTGGACAATAAGATGACAACTGTATAGTATTTTCCCAACGCTTGAAAATACCAGTAAAAATACGTCAATAACAGAATACACATTAAATTCACATGAAAAACAGAAATATAAGCGAAGTTTCAACGTCGCTCATAATGAGGGAAAGGCGAGGAATTTTGGTTGTGACGTTGTTGTGTGTTGACTTGCGAGCGTGACTCATGCCCAATACGAGAAATTGGGGGTAACGCCACATTATTTTATTCCGCAGCTGAATTGTGAATACTTATTGTTGAATTATTTTCTTTTATCTGTTAAAATCAACTTAAGCAATTCAAGAGGCTGTAGCAATAGTCTTGTTACCGAAAATTCTCAAAGACAAGAAGGACAGTTTGTTCTTGAAGATTGTTGATGTAAGTTAACTCTGTTTTCTCGCACTTACACTACACAAGAACTTTTAACGCATTCACCAATTGGCAATGCAAATTGGGTTCCGAACCAATCAAATTACAATTAACTATTTGCACTGCGAATATTCCTCCTGCATAATTACGTATTCTTGCGGTGCTTGACCATTAAAACCAGAATGCTTAGCGAGATTTTTAACAAGCATGAAGATAGCAGATATTCGCTATAAGCATTCTGGTTGTAGAGGTCACGTACAGGAAGAAAACGTCATGCATAAGGCATATTCGCAATGCAAATGTATACATGATCATGATATTCGACTAGTTCAGAACCTCATTTGCATTGGAAATTGCATTAATTAAAAGTTGTTTAGTGTAAAGGCGGATTTCCAGTCCTCGCGCATTTAGCTATTCACATGCTTTACATGCGTGCTTGCTTCCAATCACAATGCTCAATAGTCATAATGCTCAACAATTTTAATTAGATGCAAGCACTCGCACCGAGCTGCGAGAACTGCCTTAAGTAGGAGCAAATTATGCCACGCACTGTATCGATAATCTGACAAAATTCGTGGGCCGCGGTTATTCTGGTTCAGAAACATAATCCCTTTCCCCCTGTTTAATGTTGCCAGCTTATACACACTTCTCAATGCCACTGATAATATTATAATATTGCATGCATAAGCCACCAACAGAACTTTTCTTTTATATTTGATCGCCATGTGGCATGTGCAGCACATTCACACATAATATATTTTTGCTTTCTTTGCAGGAGAATGAGGATATTGATAAAGTCATCAGCGAGACAACTACGCCAAGAATTGTGGGTGTTGGCAAGTCACTTGATCCCATTTACATCGCTATTGAGGGTGATATCATTGGTGGACCATTAAAAACTCACTCGTTACTTGAGGTCCCAATAATTTTAGTTGCGGCATATTACGCATTTAATATCCAGTACCCGTCATCTTGTAATGTTTACCCTTTTCTTGAGGCTATTTTGTTCGACAATAACCACATCATAAAGAATAAGGTTGTTGTCCACAAGGTCATCACTTGCTTAAAAGGGAAATAAAGTGGAGAAAGACTTCGAGAACTTTATCATAGCGTATTAGCCGTTGACACGTTAGCCACTTATACTTTATGTTATACACATGTTACAGTTGTCAGTCTTTGTTCATCATTTGTGACAAGACAATAAATTATTTAAAGTAGATATTTCATTTAGTTTCAATCTTCTTAGTAGGCAATATGCTGTTTTTTCTAAGTTTATTATACGCATAAAAGTGAACTCGCATATATGTAAATCCCCTTTTGGACAACTTTTCTTTTGCTTTTTATGGATTCCTCTGATCGGGTGTTTGTTTTAATTTTAAAAATGTAAGAAAGGAATCTGTTAAGAATTATATAGTTTATGTAAATTAGGGCAAATCTTTATCCGATTTACAAACATTAATTAATTTTAAACATTTATTTCTTTTGTGTTTTCTTTATGAATATTAATGAGTATTTTAAGATAACTCCTTAATTTTAAAGAGTAAAAATAACTCTAGGCCGGACTATGAGTCAAAATAACTCTGAATAGGAGTCGATTTTGGAGTCATGTTAACTCGATTTTGGAGTCATATTAACTCCATTATATAGTTAAAATAACTCTTTATTAAGAGTGAAAACAACTCCTACTTCGCAGGAGTTCAAATAAGTCTGAATTTGGAGTCATTCTGTCACCGTTCAATATACTCTGTTTTTGGAGTTGTATTAACTCCAATGAATAGTTAAAATAACTCCTACTTATGAGGAGTTGAAATAACTCCAATCTTATAAGAGTTAAAACAACTCTGAATTTGGTGTCATTCTGTCACCGTTGATTTAACTCCATTTTTGGAGTTGAATTAACTCTTTAAAATTTACTGTG